TTACTCTGACCTCCCCCCATCTGTTCTCCAACAGCCCCCCATAGCCTTGCCTCCTGTGAATTTTTGGAACATCAAACTACCAATAAAATGACACTGCTTTGCTTTTCAGAAACCAAAGAGCCCAAAGCATTTTCTAGTTATTACTCCCAAGACAGGAAAATTTCAGTCTTAAAGGAAGTACTTTAAACAAGGGGCTGGGGGGATAATCTTTCAAAACCAGAGTTTCTGGGCAACAGCCATATACTAAGAGTGTACAACTCACCAGACCCACGTTTTCTCCCTTTTCTTTTAACAAGTGTCAGATTTCCTGAAAGCAAAGCAAAGCTAAAATAATGCTCTGAGCAATTAAGAGGAGAAGATGGGACAGAGAGACAGAAATTCTAAATGGTTTATTGGAATTCTGTAAAGAACAATAATTGAAATATGCTCCCTTATACTCATCATCAGCCAAAAAAGAATGTACAAAAATTCTGTCAAAATATGACTTGTGTTTTTGTTGCTAAAGTAAATCCAAACAACAGCAATGGGCTTAGTGCAGGCACTTGAATCAGCAATGAATTTTTCAGCATTCAGAACCAACAGAAACAGTCAGTAGACCCAAGATAAGTGAAAACAGAAGTTGCCATAGTAACTTGCACATTTACCCTAAAATGGCAGGAGTGTGTGTGTGTGTGGGGGGGGGAGTAGGTCAATATTTCTGCTTAACTAGCTCTATTCCTTGGCCTCCTCTGCTAAAGCAGATTCCTCCCTTACCTCACCCCAAGGAGTGAAAGGGGGATAAGCCAGGTGAGCTTTTCAAAAAGCAGGGGCTGGGGAAAGGTTTACCTAGAGGGAAGCAGAACCAAGAGGACAGCCAAATAAAAACCTTACAAGCACCTGGGGATTACCCCCAGGGAAAGCAGTTGCTGCTCAAAGGCACCAGTGCTAAGAAACTGTTGCTGGGTTACTACAAATCAGAAACCGCCATTTTTCCTGTAGCAGTTTAAGTGCATCTAATGGAACACTTGGGAGTGCACTAATAAGAGCTTGGGGTTGGGGGTAGTGGTAGAGAGGGATGAATACTCTAACATGGGAGAAATCTGACACCCTTAGCAAAAGGCATTTTGCTCCTTTTTGAGAGGTGCAAACTATGAACAAAGCTAAATGATGACCTAAAGAGAGGGAGGCTTGAAAGGGGGAAAAGGGGTTCAAAATAAGTCGATTTTGCTAACACAGAAACACAGCCCCCCTTTGATATTTGAATCTGAAATGACTACAAATCCAAGAAGGCAAGGGTAGCTCTGGTCTCAGGATGTGGAGACTGCTTGGTGCCAACAATCTACCTGGGAAGCAGGGTAAGCAGAAAGCATTTGGAAACAGGTGCAGTTCTACTTTCCTGCCACTGTTAGTGCCTGCACAGGGAGAACTTAAGGTATTATTAACGATCTTAACCATTTGGTGTGAAGGGCCTGGTATTCTAGAAGGTGACAGAAAAGATCATCTTTTTTATCTGTCTGTGGACCAATATATATAATAAAACATTTGCCATTTCAATCATTTTTACGTGTAAAATTCAGTAACAATAATGACAGTCACTATGTTAGGCAATCAAGAACCATCTTTTTACCCAGTGAATATCTGCAACACTAACTTTTTTTTTTTTTCCTAGAATCCAAGTCTCTCTCTCTCTCTCTCTTTATTTTTTTTTTAATTGTGATTTGGGTGAAAGTTTATAGAGCAAATATACTTTCCATACAACAGGTTACATACACTTTGTCTCATGACATTGACTACAATTTACCCCAATGTAACAGCTCCCCTCCCACTTCCTCCCAATAGTCACCTCTTCCCTGTGTCCATCCCTCCATGCACTCCTGCCCCATGAGCTGTCTCTCTGTGCATAAAACAACACTGACATTTAGATTCTCTGCAGCCATTGTACAGAGGCTTCCAGGGAAAAGGCCAGTCAAACATGACTGGGAAATTTACTTCAAACCATAGCATTAATATACAATACTGAGTTGTCAGTGAAAGCAAACATGGGTATAGGGACGGATAGATGGGTGAACAAGCTAAACAATTAGGTATGTCTAAATGGAGAGTGTATCCAAGATCATATACAGGGTTGGCAGACAATGGGCCTATAAGTTCATGTGAATGATCAGAATTCCCAGGTGTATAGTAGAGCTGACAAGGGGCAAGGTTATGGTCATTACCTGGTCACAGCCAGCTACCCAGAGGGACCGAGTAGTTGATCCTGCGGGCTTGGGACCATAGTCGCAGGGGACATCAAACTCAATTGGCATAACACACTATACAAAACATTGTTCCACTACTACTTTGGCGAGTAGCGACTGGGACCTTAAAAGCTAGGAAGCTGCCATCTAGATGCAACAACGGGTCTCTCCTCGTCAAGAAGAAAGAAGAAAACCAAAATTAATGGAAACAATCAGTCCTAGCGACTGGTACACCATCCGATCTGCAACCTATACAACTATGAGACCAGAAGAACTAGATGGTGCCCAGCTACCACTGCCATCCACTTGGAAGGGATGTAGGAGATCCTGCATAAAGAGGGAGAACAATGTGGTACAAAACTCAAAATCATTTGGAGGCAAAAAAAAAAAAAAAGAAGTTGGGGACCAGGTTTGCTGGTCCAATGGAGCCTGGTGTAACCACTGAGACTATGGCCCCTAGCTGCCCTTCAGGTCTGGAATTGAACCCACAACTGTGGTTTCCAGCCAAACAAAGTACAGGCATGTGAGTTAAACATTTACCTCAAGTAGACACATGCTCTGGAGAGAACAATCATGGGAGAAGGAAGGGCTGCTTAGGCACAGGGAGATAGCTCAGGGTGCAGAAGAGTATGAAGGGATGGACACTGGGAGGAGGTAACTATGGGGAGGAAGTGGGAGGGGAGCTGCTGCATTGTAAATTTTGGTCAATGACATGAGACAAAGTATATGTGAACTGCTGTATGAAAAGTGAATTTACTCTGTAAATCTTCACCCAAATCCTAATTAAAAAAAAAAAAAAAAAAAAAAAAAACATAGCATTAGTCACAACAGACCAAGGGTAGGGGAAAGACAAGCTCCTATACTCAGAATCAAAGTACTATCTGTTCTTGTGCACATGTCTACAGAGGTTCATAGATGCAACAACATTCAAGATAACTTTAGAGACCAAGAGCAGTCAAGACCTTGGGAGAGAAGCACCTTGAACAAACCCGTTTGGACTCAGGAGCAGAGGGGCCTGAAGGACAAAGGGCTAAACAAAACAAAAAAACAAAACCACTGCTGCCCCACAAGTTCCCAAGGCAGCAAATCTTTACTGGAGCAGATGGCCACATCTTTCTCCCATGGAGCGGCTGGTGGGTTTGAAATCATCAACCTTTCGTTTAGCAGCTGTACTACACCAAAACCAAATCTACTGCTATCTAGTTGATTCCAACTCACAGCTACCCTACAGAGCAGAGTAGAACTGCTCATAGGGTCTCCAAGACTATAAAACTTTACAGAAGCAGACTGCCTCATCTTTCTTTTGCAGAGTGGCTGGTGGGTTTGAACTGCTGACCTTTTGGTTAGCAGCTGAGTGTGTTAACTACTGTGCAACCAGAGCTCCTTAGTCAAGGTACTCAAACTCACTGCCACTGAGCTAACTCCAACTCACAGTGACCCCCACTGGGTTTCTAAGGCTATAAATCTTTACGGATACAGATTGCCCCAACTTTCTTCTGTGGAACAGCTAATGAGTTTGAACTGCCAACCTTCTGGTTAGCAGCCAAATACCTTCATCTCTATACCACCAGAGCTCCTTGATCAAGGTACTAAACAAACAAACAACAAAAAAAAAAAAATTCACTGCCATCGAGTTGGATCTGAGTCATAGGGACCCCTCCTTGGGTTTCTGAGGCAGTATCACTATAGAAAAGTTGACTGCTCAATCTTTCTTCTGAAGAGTGGCTGGTGGGTTTGAACTGCCAGCCTTCTGGTTAGCAGTCAAATTCCTTAGGCACTACACCACCAGAGCTCCCTGGTCAAGGTACTAAACCAAACTCACTGCCGTCAAGTCGGTTCTGACTCATAGCGACCTCTCCTTGGGTTTCCGAGGCGGTATCACTGCAGAAGTAGATTGCCCAACCTTCCTTCCGAGAAGTGGCATAAATACTAGGAGGAGGAACATATCCTCAGTAATTTAGGTATAAACTTAAGGCTGAAGGCTCCAGGCTCCAGTAAGTAAATTACTCTTTTGGAGATGTAAAAGATGTAAGGGAAATGTGGGAACCCACAGATGCTGTTCTATCAACCAGTTCTCAGCTTGGCCCAGGAAATGTTCAGCCTGATCAGCTCAAAATCATTTTTCCTTTACATATAGCAGCACAGAGGACAAAGAGAAGTTTGTGAAATTAAAATGTTCAAGCATACACAAAGTAGAGAAAATTGGATAATGATGCCATCCATTACTCAGATTAAAAAATAATCAATATTCTAGTGTTAATCTTAAAGCCAAAATAAAACCTTTTCACTAAAACGACCTCCAAGTGTCATACATCAAAAGCCCATAACCCAAGATAGCAACTTACAAATTCATGCTCAGGAGGCAGCTACTCTGGGAAACCAGTAGTGGCAAAGAAAAATACACAGAAAACAGGGTTCAATTTCAATTCCTGGGGAATTATATCCCCAAGGTGTTTCTACAGGTTAGACCACCCAGAATTATATCCCCAAGGTGTTTCTACAGGTTAGACTACCCAGATTTTTAATTCCTAAAAGATACAATTTCCAATTACTTTACGTTTGATGACCAAGAATCACTATCCCACACGAACCCACAGAGAAGGGTCCGTGGTCACCATAGTCATCTTTCTAGAATTATGTCTTGTTTACAACTACTTTCCATTTTGACAGAAGGATGTGGGGCAAATTTCAGGTAAAGAAGCCAGTACAGATTTAGTTCATTTATGACTTATTAAAACCCACCATGTGTTCATATTTGGAAAGCCCAAGCAAGATTCTACTTACTGGTACTGTTACATCCTCATAAAAACTCCATGCTAAAGCCCATCTCATTGTCCGACCTTGACAGAACTCAGTGTAGGTGACTTTAGGAACCTGAAACCAATAAACATAGCGTCTCATCAAACTGAATGTGTCTGAACCAATTATGTTCCTGACTGCTACCTCACATTATATTACGTGTTGGTCCTTCTTGTGTTCTTGTGATCAGTTAACAAACACTACTTATCCAAAAAGCAGCTGTGCCTAACTCCCTAATAATCAACGAACAAATTATCTTTGAACAAAGCTGTCTTTTCTTTCCACCCATGAAACACTAGAGATTATAACTATCTGGATCAAAAGTCCAAATATGAAACACTCAAAACATACTTTTCAGAAAATGACTTCTAAAATGATTCAAGAGACTTTTTGTTTTCTTTTTAAGAAAGTCAATCACGTTGGGTAGGTTACTCCTTTCTGCCCGTGGACTCCGCAGGGGAAGCATCGTTAAAGCCTTTTTTTTTTTCTGCCCACTGTGGTCGTGTCTAAGTCAGAGTCTCCTAAAGAATCCAAACAGCTGCGAAAACTCTTCATTGGAGGGATGAGCTTTGAAACAACAGATGAGAGTCTGAGAAGCCATTCTGAGCAATGGGGAATGCTCACAGACGATGTGGTAATGAGAGATCCAAACACCAAGCGTTCCAGAGGCTTTGGATTTGTCACTTACTCTACAGTGGAGGAGGTGGATGCAGCCACGAAAGCAAGGCCACACAAGGTAGATGGAAGAGTAGTGGAACCAAAGAGAGCTGTCTCAAGGGAAGACTCTCAAAGACTAGGTGCCACTTAACTGTGAAAAAACCTTTGTTGGTGGCATTAAAGAAGACACTGAAGAACATCACCTAAGAGATTATTTTGAACAATATGGGAAAATTGAAGTGATTGAAATCATTACTGACTGAGGCAGTGGCAAGAAGAGGGCTTTACTTTTGTAACTTTTGATGACCACAACTCTGTAGATAAAATTGTCATTCAAAAATATCATACTGATAGGTTTATGTGAGTGATCA